GCCCGAAAATACAAATAAAATGTTTTAAAATCCAAACTTACCAAACCGTACTTGGATGCATCCCTGTGCTTAAAACGGAATGTCCCTCCTCCTTTTGAGGCACCTCAGTTTCACTCCGTTAAAATCAATATACTCCCTTCAGCTTGCATCTTACAAATGATTGGAATCAACATCGAAATGTCTACTGCCCGAAAGCACATACAAAAGTTTTTAAAATCTAAAGTTACCTAAGCCGTACTTGGATGCATCCCTGTACTTAAAGCAGAATGACCCTCCTCCTTTTTAAGCCCCTAAGTTTCACCCAGGTAAAACAAAAATATTCCCTTTGCCTCTTTCCGGCCGCGTTTATGCTCCGCAAGTTAGTTCTAACGGGGCTACTGATATCATCTTGATTTACATCGGTTTGTCCCCCAAGGTATTCGGCAAAACGAGCACCACCAATTCGAGACTTTTGCTGTCTAATAACAAAATTAGGTTCAAATGGGATAAAAAAAGGACTGGGACTGAGAAAGTTGCTTGCGCTGTTGTTCTCTAAGTGCTTTCTTCTAGAGCTACGTAGAAACTGCAACGGAACGTTTACCAGTGGGTGAGTAAAGCATTCAGTGCAGAAAACAGCTCAACTTTGGGCGGGCGAATTTAATTGGAACCGATTCGCGCCAAGTTTGTTTTATGGTGTCACCTTTCTCTGTCGGGTGGGATTATGCCCATGGGGTTAAACCCAATTTCTCGCAATATTTATAAATTAGAATTTAAATTCGAATAAATCCGTACTAGAATGCATCCCTGTACCTGAAGCAGAATGTACCTCCTCCTTTGAAGCTCTCGGCTTCGACCCGGTCAAATAGATAATTTCCCCCCACCCCATTCCAGCCGCGTTTATGCCCCGAAATTTAATTCTAACGGGGCAACTGTGGTCATCTCGATTTATAAAGATAGGTCACATTAGGACTTCGGCTAAAATTTCTGCATAAAAACGGCAACCAGCTGCGTAAAAACGGCCCCAGTGAGGAAATAATTTTTACACTTTTTATTACCCCAATTACAACAAATTTTTACAATCAAATCTTTACAATGAGATCTATTTGATCTGATCCAGTAAAAACCATAATTATAACGGGTATAACTTTTAAAGGATCATATTTGGTTTGACATTTTTTTTTCGAAATTGTAAAAACATACACAGGTTTTCG